TAAGTTTTGGATATTTTGGGGTACCTGATCAACCTGGCACCATTGACTGAGAAGTTCATCCTTTCCCCATTCTTCATCATAAATCAGATGTCCATATGTCCATCTACTTGGGGACTATTCTCTTTAGTGAATCTATTTGTCTAAACCAGCACCACCACCACCCAGTCTTCATTACCATAGTGTTGTAATAATTCTGGATTTCTAGTGGACAAGACCTACATTTTTGTTCTCTTTTGAAAAGGCCTTGGTAGTCTTTTGGTCCTTTGTGCTTCCACATGACTCTTAATCAACTTGTGGAATTGCAAAAAAAGAAAAATAAATAAATTTCTTTTGTGATTATATTGAATCTATAATACAATCAGGTTTCAACTGAGATATTAAAACATGATATATTTTTCTGGTAATACTATTTTAGTTACTGATTTTTAATATAATTGCATTGTGACTAGAGGATATATTTTAAAATTTTTAAATATTTTGAGATTTGATAATACTCAGGTTTTGGCCCAGTATGAAATCAATTTTGTAAATGTTCCACATAATTCTGCAATTGATAGCTTTATTGTCTAAATAGGACTATGTTTTAAAACATATTGCTCTAATTTTTACATCGTTACTAATTTTTTGTCAACTTATATTACCAATTACTGAGAGATATGTATAAAAATCTCCCAGAATGATTGTGAATTTTTGTTTTTTCTCTGTGTGTATTTTGAAATTTGCTTTACTTATTTAATGCTATATCAGATACATATCTTTTTAGAGTTATTACAGATTCCCGGCAAATTAAACTTTTTACCATTATGATGAAACCTTTCTTATTTCTAGAAATGATGTTGCCTTATGGTCTAAATCAGCTTTCTTTGGTTACTGTTTGCATGGTATATCTTTTTCTACTAGATTTGTTTGAATTAAGATTCAAATAAGGCACACACATTTCATTTGGTTAAGTTATTTACATTTCTCTTAAGGTTATAATGCTATTCAAATTATCTATTACATATTAGGTGAGTTGTCGTAGTTTGTGCTTTTCAATAAGTTGGTCCATTTCATCTAAGATGTCAACTTTGTGTGTACAGAGTTGTTTGTAATGTTCCTTTATACTTTTGATGTCTGTTGTATGTAGCGATAGCCTCTATTTCATTCCTAGTATTGGTAATTTTTGTCTTCTCTTATTTTTCATTTGATTTTTTTATATATTTTCAGTCAAATGTGATTAGATATGGATTTTTCAACAAATTCTACTTTGGCTTTGTTGAAATCTTTGAAACAGTAGATTGGTGACCTTTATTATGTTTTTTATTGTTTCTGGGAAATTCTCAGCCCTTAGCTCTTCAAATATTACCTCTTATCTTTCCTCCTTTTCTCTGGCATGCCAATTAAATTGTGTTCTATTTTTTTTCACTTTAATCTCTGTATCTCCCCTCTCTTCTGTGCTTTTCATCTTTTTCCCTCTTCGTTTATTCTGGGTCTTTCCAATTTGTGTATTAGTGGCACAAGTCACTACTTTTAACTCACTACTTTTCTATTCAGTTGTGTCCAATCTGCTATTAAACCCAACCATTGGTTCTAAATTTTACTGTATTTTTTACTTCCATAATTTCTAGATGATTCTTTTTCAGATCTCCGATATCTCTTTTACAGTTTCTGGTTCATTGCTGAGATTTTCAAAGTAGACTTTTATTTCCTTGAAATAATAAGCACAGTTGCTTTACAATTTGTGTCTGATATTCCAGTATCTGGAGTTCCCATAGGCTTTGTTCAGTTGTCTATTGTCTCTATTTGCCTTTGGCTTGTTTTGTTTTGCTTCGTCATATGTACTGTGATATTTGTTTTCTGGATGTTTTATTTGACAAAATGCTTTTGCTAATAATGTAAGATCTAAGGCAATGTTATCTTATTCTGAATAAGAGTTTTTATTCCGGCAGACATCCGAAAGTGCTTACATTTCAGGAACAAGGTTTGAAGTTTTTGAGTCATCTAAATAATCCCTGAAAGTGCAGTACACACCAACATCCAGAGTGAAAGTTCTTCAGTTTCTAGCCCAGTACAGGGAATGTTACTCTAGAGTCTCTTGCTTGGTGGATGCTAAGTTCCAACCCCTACTGTGCCAGCCTATAAAACCGCCAAAAAATACGTATCTGCCTTTTCAGTGAACTTCCGTGGATTGGTAAATGATCCCAGGTCAGCCAAAAGCAGAAACTGATTGCCAAAGGACTTTGACCCATGCCATTCCACTGCTTGAGAATGGCAAAAGCAGTTTCATGTCTCTGCTGTCTTTACTCACATATACTACTACTTTAAAATCAGCCCTAATCTATTTCTTTGATCTCCAGTTCTATTCTTCTCTTCTCATGATAATTTTTTAAAGCTTTTAAATGACTGTTTTCAGTTGTCTTCATCAGGGTCTTTGGGCCAGATCTCACAGTGCGCCGTTAGCAAATGATGACATATTGCATAGAATATTCTGTTCCTTTTTTCCCACTTAGTATATTTGGGATTTATCTCTTTATTCGTACTTTTTTTGTTTTGTTTTGTTTTACTGCTGTACAAGACTCATTGTATGAATGTCCCTTATTTCTGGACACCTGGTCCTTTTCAAGTTTTTGCTATTATGAATAATGCCACTGTGAATAATCTCATCATATGGTATTTAGTATTTATTCAAGTGGTCCTATAGGATAGTCTCCGAGTAGTTGTATGTTTCAAATAGTAAATACAAAGTAGATTTGTTTGATCTTGCCCCAAACTCCCATCTTATATGTCCAATGGCAATGAATAAGGGTACCTATTTCCTCATAGCTTCAACAGCCTATGTGGTTTAGTTTGGATTTTTGTCTTAATCGAATAAATGAGAATTCCAAGTCATTCAAATATAAATACTTTATTTTATTGACTTTATTATATAACTACTTGTATTTAATTTCTTCTTACTTTTCTGGTCTTTTCTTCTCAGTCTTCTCCTTCTCTACTCATCCTCTAAATAATAAAGTTTTTTGAAGTTATTATTGGATACTCTTCTTTTCCCCCTTGTCATCTTCCTAAGTGATCTTGCCCATTCCTGTGGCTCTGATGCCATACATAATTACAGTGAATTTAATTAATCTTTCTGGCTCAGACTTCTCTTCTGAACTCCAGCTGCCAATTTTATATCTCCATGTCAATGTCTCTCAAGCATCCAAAAATTCAATACAGCACTAACTTCTGGATCATCATCCCCCTTCCCCAATCACTAAAATATAATCCAGACTTCCTAAATCACAGTAAGTACCATTGTCTGCCAATTGCTAAAACCAGGAACCAGGGACTCACTGATATATCCTGTTCTTTGATGCTAGTATCCAATTAATTATCTAATCCTGTCTCCTCTACATCAAAAATACATCTGTTTCAGTTATTCGGGATGAATAAATTCTAGAGATCTAATGTACAGCATGGTGACTGAAGTTAATAATTCTGTATTGTATGTTTGAAATTTGTAGAAAGGTAGATCTTAATAAGTGTTCTCACTCCCCACACACAAAAGGTAACTCTAAGTAATAAATATGTTAATTAGTTTAATTGTAGTAATCATCTTAAACCATCCTGTTGTACACCTTAAATATAGGCAATTTTTATTTGTTAATTATATTTCAATAAATCTGGCAAAAAAATTATCTACTAAAAGAAAAAATATATATATGTGGAACCCACTCTCTTGCCTCTATCTCTTACTTCTCCCCATCCTTGACCATTGCTAAGCTTATCACAAAGTTTTTTAAACTGGGCTCCTATTTCACTTCTTAGTACTTCTGCCTCCACCCCAGGTTTCCATACAGTAACAAGCATGAGCTTTTTAAAATGTAAATTGGATCATGTTACTCACCTTCAGTGGGCTCTAATTTCTCTTGAGACAAAAATCAAAATTATTACCATGATCCATAAGGAACTACATGACCAGGCCTTGTCTACATCTCTAACCTCATTCCATGGCACTCATTATGCTCCAGAAGCACCAACCTCCTTTTAGTTGCTCAAAATTTCTAACCTCCCTTCTATGTCAGGAAGTCTCTTTCTCTCCCAAGGGACAGTAAGCTCCATGAGAGCAAGGATGTCTGTCTGTTTTTCACCGTTGTATTCAAAAGTACCCAGAACAGTGCCAATTTTTACATATAAAATATTGTTAGATAAATGTAGCTAAGAGTTCTTAAGAGCTTAAACTAAAAGTTGGATGCAAGAATCGGACATAGGAAGCCTTAAAAATGAATAATGAATAGGACCTGGTGAATTATTTGACTTTGGATTAAAACACAGAAAGGCACCAAGTACGATTAAAGGCTTCCCCCTGGAGAGCTAAGAAAAAAACTATAAAACATTGGAAAGTCTCCCAAAACAATAGCTGCTGGCATGGGACAGTAGAGGGAAGTTCAGGACATAGAGAGATTTGTGCAGAAATGATAGATTCATTTATTGAGGCAATGTACAAAATGTTCGAGGCCATGGTGGACTGAGAGAAGATATTGATTGGCAAGTGGAAGTGTAGAGTCGAAGCTCAGGAAGCCATCAGTTCTTAGACAAAAACTGAAGAGGTAGAAGTGAATGAATTCCTCAAAAGGAAGAAGACAGTAAAAAATGTGGATAATAGTGATAGAATTTTAGGGACTGCCTCGTTTACAGAGTGCAAGAAAAATGTGAAGCAAACAACTGAGCAAAGAATGACCAGAGTGATAGAAAAAACGGGATAATGTAGTGTTACAGAAAGCAGGAAAGAAAGGTTTTTGGAAGAGGTAACTCAGCATAGGGAAGTCAAATGCCTTAGAGAAATAAAAGCAAATTGAATAGGAGTTTGGATGGATACTAGATCTTTGGGAAACTTGAAAACTTGGGGAATGTGGGGAAACATTTGGGTTTAGAGACAGAAGGCTTATGTCCTAGGAAATGAAAACTAGATTTTTCATTTGTACAAGAGGATAGAACACAGTCCTATTAACCCTAAGCATTCTCTCTCTATCTCCCCACAGCCCTGAAGCCGGTGGATCTACATGTCCCATATCAGACAGGGCCTCTGATGGCCGTGGAGACAAATCGGGGCATAGTGCTGAACTGGCGGGCCCACAGCTGGCCCCTGCGCTCCCGCCGCACACCAGTGGCCTCCCTGCACTCTGTGGTCCGGGAGCTGGGGGGCCTGGCCGGGGGCCCCCAAACCGTGGTGGTGCTGGGGCTGGGCGCTCACTTCACCACCTTCCCTCCATCCATCTTTGTGCGAAGACTGGCAGGGATCCGGGCAGCTGTGGCTGCGCTGCTGGCCCGGGAGCCCCACACTCTCGTGGTCATCAAGCTGGCCAACACCGGCTACAAGTCTGTGTATGGCAGTGACTGGTTCACCCTCCAAATGAACCGGCTCCTCCAAGCTGCCTTTGCTGACCTCCGCGTGGCCTTTGTGGATGCCTGGGAAATGACCTCCAGCCTGGCGCTGCCTGACAGCATCCACCCTGGGCAACTCATTGTCCGTAATGAGGTGGACTTTCTCCTCTCCTTCATCTGTCCGACCTGAGTGCTTCTGCGGACTCTGGGGCCATAGGAATATTGAAGAGAACTGCAGCAATCGTGGGACCCTGAACTAATAATGACTCAGAGAACAGTGGTTGCCCTAAGACTTACCACCTAAGGTTAATCAATATTAATGTTTTGAGGACCATCTTTGCCTACATCTCTCTATACGCATCAAATATATGTGTGTGTAATTTTAGATAAACAGAATAATATTTTACATGCCTTCTTTTTTTCCCCTCCAGCTTTATTGAAATAAAATAGACAATTAGTTGCTCATATTTACATTGTACAATTCAATGAGTTTTTTTTTCCAATTATAGTTGGCATACAATAATAATATATGTTTCAGTTGTACAGCATAATGATTAGAGCTCAAGTGATCACACCATTAAATCTAGTACCCCTCTTCTCCCTTACATATTTATTACAATATTGTTAACTATTTTTCTAATGCTGCATTTTATAACTCAATGACTATTTTGTAACTATCCATTTGTATTTCTTAATCCCTTCACCCTTTTTCACCATTCCCCCAACCCTCCTCCTGTCTAGTAGCCCTCAAAATATTCTCTGTATCTGTGAGTTTGTTTCTGTTTTTGTTATTGTTGTTTATTTTGTTCTTTAGATTCTGCATGTACGTGAAATCACGTAGTATTTGTCTTTCTCTATCTGACTTATTTTATTCAGCGCAATACCCTCTAGATCCATCAAAGCAATATCTTTTTACATCCCCATCCTTTTAGTCTGTGTATGTCTTTTCATCTGAAGTGATTCTCTTGTAGGCAGCATATGTAGGGGTCTTGTTTTCTTATCCATTCAGCTACCCTATCCTTTGGTTAGAGCACTCAATTCTTTTCCATTTGAGGTAGCCATTGCTAGATATGTAGTTATTACCATTTTTTATTCATGATTCGGGTACATGTTATTTCTTCTTAAAAAAGCCCCGCCAACATTTTCTGTAATAGTGGCTTGGTGCTGATGAATTCCTTTAGCTTATTTTTGTCTGGGAAGCTCTTCATCTCTAAATGATAGCTTTCCTGGGTAAAGTATTCTTGGTTGTAGGTCCTGGGTTTTCAACATGTTGAATATTTTGTACCAAACCCTTCTGTTCTGCAAAGTTTCTTTTGGGAAATCAGCTGCCAGTCTTATGTGTATTCTTTTGTAGGTAACTACTGCTTTTCTCTTGCTGCTTTTAAGATTCTCTCTTTGTATTTAACCTTTGACACTTTAATTATGATGTGTCTTGGTGTGGGCCTCTTTGGGTTCATCTTTTTTTTGGACTCTCTGAGCTTCCTGGAGTTGAATATCTATTTCCTTTACTAAGTTAGGAAAGTTTTTTATCATTATTTCTTCAAATAGCTTTTCCACTTCTTGTTCTTCCTCTCCTCCTTAAGGTACCCCTATTACACAGATGTTTTTACACTTAATTTTATCCCATACTCCTTAAATTATTATTATATTCTTGGCTACTTTTTGCTTGCCATTCTGATTGGGTGACCTTGGCTTCCCCATCCTCTATATTGGTGGCTTGATCCTCTTCTTCATCCACTCTGTTCATTCCCTCTAATATACTCTTCATCTCAGATAATGTGTTCTTCATTTCTGACTGGTTCCTTTTATCATTTCCATTTCCATTTTTATGTTTTTTTTTTTTTATCTCTGTTAAAGTTCTCACTGAGTCCATCTACTCTTCCCTTAATTTCATTGGTCATCTTTATAACCAGTGTTTTGAATTCTGCATCTGTTAGATTACTTGACTCCATTATTCCTGGATCTCTGTTCTCTTCTCTCCTATGGTTTCTGCTTCTTTGTCTTCCCATTATGTCCAGCAGCACAGTCTCCAGAGGGGTTCAGCTGTAGGCCAATTTTAGCCCCGGCCTGTGTCCCTCTAGGGCCACCTGTTAAGATTCAGCAAGCAATCCAGAGATGCTGTTCTTATAGTTGCCTCAAGAAATCACACCAGAAACTGAAGTTAGCTGCCACTAGTGTGGGTCTTGGAGCTTACTCTGCAAGTTGCGTAGGACTCGCCAAGGACACAATGTGGTTTGGGTAGGGCCGTAAATTGGGGGAAGCGGGGTTTCAAGGAATCTTCTGGGCAGAGCGACCTCTGTTATCTAGTTTGATGATGTCTCAGCTATGATGGTGCTGCATCTGCACACTGGGGTGGGGGGTGGGGTCCACAGAGGAAGGATGGATACCGCTGTTACCGGAGAGTGGGGTTCCTCTCTTGACATGTTGTCCAGGTTCTTGATGTCTTGAACAAAGAATTGAGCAAGACACCAAAATATAGCAGAAAAGAATAACTTTATTAGAAGAAATAGTACATTTCTAGATGTGGAAGCAGGTCTGAGCAAAAGAAGAATGGCTCAAAGGCCTGGTTACAAAGTCTTTGGGGTTTTTATCCCTATTTGCTGTGAGTGGTTATTTTTCACTTGCTTTCTGTGCAAGTGATGAGTTCAGTCTGTTATACTGATATCAATTAACTTCCAGACATATGTGTCATTATAATGATGGTATAATGAGGCTCAGTTGAATTGAAGGTCATTGGGGTCTTCATTGCACAGGTGTGAGTGACTGGCTGAAACTTGTACCCAATTATTTGCTTGTCTCTTTCCTTGTATGAGTTACTTTTAGACCAAAAATGCCTTCTGGCTTGCTTAATTGTGGGCAGAAAAGGGGTACCCTTTCTAGACTAGGATGGCCTCAGTATCTTTGCAGGTGGACCCAAAACCCCTTATCTAACTTTCCTGCCTAACCTTTTCCTAAGAGCCATGAACCCCTTTTTCTTAGTATGGATGTTGAGGGACGGGAGATCTCTTCTTCTGTATCTGCTTCCTGCTGGGAAGGGTCGTAGTCCCTGCCTACTTTTCATAGAGCTCTTTCTCTCTCTGTTTTAGTCAGGATAGGGTCTTTGGTTTCCTGCTCTAGTGCTGCCTCTGTCCCTAGACAAGGAAAAACAAAGATACAAACTTGTTACTTGAATCATATATCTATTTAAGTTTCTATTATTGATTTGCCTATCAAGTGGGTAAAGGAAAACAAACTTATTAATATATTTCGTAAAAAAGAAAAAAGAAAAAGCGGTTAAAGGTCTCTTCTCTTCTCGGACTCTAAAG